AAACCCATGGAATTCCATGAGTAAACCATGGTTTTCCCATGGAAAACGGGAATTTCATGGAATTTCCATGGGTAAATTTCATGAAAATTGAAATCCCATGGAATTTCCATGGGTGAACCATGTTTTTTTTTTCAGCGCCATGGTTGTTACAAATGCACTTTTAAAGATGGCTCGCAGAGTTATGATTATTTTTAACTTTAGAAAACAATACTTACTGCATTCTTCTGTTTTTCTGTGTTTAATAAGACTATGTATTATATGTTTTTTATAATGCATTACATTTATATGATTTAAACTAAACATACAGACATAAACAACTAGATATATTTATCATATTATAATGCATTATAAAATGGATTACTTTTAATTATATTTAATTATATATCATTTATGCATATACTTATTTTAACTGTTTCCAGTAGCTTTGCTTACTTTGCATAACTTGCAATAGTATAGCAAGTATGTCAAGTAAACCAGTTTGAATTTTAATGCGTACTTGGCAAATTATTTGCCAAATAATTATTATTTGGTTTACAACAAATAAATGTTTAGTTTTAATCTACATTAAATAACTAGTGTATTAATGTACATAGTGTAATTTAATGTACATTCAAACTAGTATAATTATTATTATAAAACTTATCGAACATATTAAAGAAACTTATCTAAAATATTAATATACAAACAGTATATTAGATAAGATTAGATAACTAAGATAATAAGATTAGATAACTAATGTACAAAAAATAACTAGTATGATCTTTTTTATTTTTTTTTATAATAGCCTTAGATTACATAAAAATGCTTGAAGTTTATTGTATCATAAATGTTCATTAAGTATTAAAAAACATTTTTTTATGATAAATGTTCTATTCAATTTTAGTTTTGTTAAGTTGTTTTTGTCTTTTTGTTATTGTTTTTTCTTTAGAATTATTAGAATATGTAAATAATGTAATATAAATAATGTTTATAAATTCTTTTATATTTACTTTATTATTTTATTTAAATTACTACATTATAAGCCAACAGGTTTGACTGGCAATATAAATAATGTTATTCATCGTTTATATTGTTTATAACATCGTCAGTTTTTATATGCATTTAATATTTTTAAAAATAGTTCAAAAGCTGTGAAAATAAAATAGTGAATTGAGTTTAAATTAACCAGAAAAGATATAAACCTAATCTCTGGGATTCAACTTGTAAGGATGTTCCAAGAACCACTTAGTTGGAGAAAGAAAACTGTGGTAATGTTTTAAAAGTATCAGAAAAAGAACTTAATTAATGCACAAGATTTTACTTCATAGTTAAATATAAGCATATAAAAGCAATGTTTATAAATAATACACTATTATTTATTATAATACAATTATTTTTATTTGTTTATATTTAACTGATGTAAAGTGCTCGTCTTTAGTTAAAATAAATTAATTTATGCACACACTTTGATATTTACTATGCTTTTACATTACTATACTTTATAAATTACATATTTGTTATGTTTTAAATAGTGAAGTAAAAATATAATAAATTTTTGAATTTAATGGTATGTGCGTAAGTTCTTTTATTTTAACTTTATCATTTTATTTAAATTACTGCATTATAAGCAGGTAAGTTTGACTGACAATATAAATAATGTTGTACATCATGCAGACAGCTCAGACAAAGAAGTAAGTTTTTACTTAAAATTACAATTTATAAATTATACTATATTTGTTGCTGCCTTATTCTATATAAATGTTACTAACATGCAGGTAAAATTTATATATGTGTATAAATATTTTCATTTTAACCTTATCATTTCATTTAAATGAAATTTTTAATTTATTTATTTAGCCGTTCATTAACAAGTCCTGTGCTTTATAATATATTAAAAAATGGAAGGACGTGAAGAAAACAAGTTTGTAAATGATGTTGTACATCATGCAGATAGCTCAGAAAAAGAAGTAAGTTTTTTTTTTAAATTACAAAAGTAAATATATAATATAATATTTGTTGCTGCCTTGTTCTATATAAATGTTTCTAACATGCAGGTAACATTTATATATGCATTAGTTTGAATAAATCATTTTAATAAAGTTACATTTTAGGCAGGAATGTTTGACTGGAAATATAAACGATGTTGTACATAATGCAGATAGCTTAGGCAAAAAAGAGGTAACAATCTAATAATTTGTATTTATAAATAATGATATATTCATTGCTACTTTTTTCTATATAAATGTTACCTAACATTTGGCAATATTCATAATTGTGTATAATGCCTAATTATAAAGTAAGTTATAATAGATAATAATTACTAGTAAAATGAATTAGTAAATAAAGAAAACTAGTTAGAATGTATATAATAGTTGTATGATGTATTGTCTAGATTGGTGAAATAGAGAATGAGACTAACTAGGGTGAAAAAAAATGAATATTAATATGTGAATAGCACTTTGTTTAACATCTACCTGTTTCTACAGATACAGTACAGACGCATTTATAAATGGGCTTGATGTTTTTTTGAATTAAATATGTTGTATTGATGGTTCTTTTTAACTTGTTAAAACTTGAAGTTATTATCAAATTTATATATACTATTTTTATCAAATAGTTAATATAAAATAATAAACATGTAAATTGTTTTATTTTCTGTAAAAATTGTTTTCTTTCTTATAGTATTATATTACTTGTAATTTTTTGTTTTATTTATTTTCAGTATGTTATACATATGCATGCATTAAATATTGTGGGGAAGTCAAGTTTTGATGTTTTAGGTGCATTATAGCTATTATTTTTCAAAGATTTGTAAGATTTAACAAGATTTAAATTTTATTTTGTTTATTGATTTTATTTGGAGAAAGCGATCTCATAGATTAAGAGAACTCAATAATAGTGGGACAAAATTTGCTTTTATGATTTAATATGACAATTCAAATAACATTAGATAAAAAAACTTGAAAACAAATCATGCTTTTTTACCATGAAAAATCCATAAGTTTTCCTTGGAAAGGTGTTCCTAATACCTATGGAAATTCTATGGTTTTTCCATGGATGGAAAATCATTGAATATCCATGGTATTTGGAACACTTTTCCATGAAAAACTTAAAGATTTTTCATGGGAAATTCATGTGTTTCCCATGAAAACTCATGGTTTTTCCATGGAAAACTCATGGTTTTTTCATGGGAACGTGTTCCAAATACCCATGGTTTTTCCATGGGTTTTTTTTCTAAAATTCCCATGGGAAATTTTCGTACGGGAAACCACAATCAACACAAATATGATTTTTGTTTTGATGATCAAGCGTTAACAACGTATAATATATATTTATAAATATAGTTGTATATATATAAATATATATATAATATATATATATATATATATATATATATATATATATATATATATATATATATATATATATAAAGTAAATAGAATTTAATGAAAATTTAATTCCGAATAATATTGTTTTGCCAATTAAAGTTCAACACTGAATCAACGCAAATACAACATTGAAACATCATAAAATACAACGTTTTGCAAACTGAAAATACAATGTTGGGCCAACGTATAAAATAAAACGTTAAATCAACGTAGAAAATATAACCATTTTCCGACTATAGATAAACGTTTTATCAACATTGGTTTTTAGTTGTTGGCGACATCACATTTGTAACCATAATGATATAAAAGTAACGTTGGCAGCCGATGTTGGGCCAACAAAGCGTGCGACATTGTTCTAATGTTTTAACAACGTTTGTGTGCTAGCTCGGTATATATATATTTATAATAAAAATATTTAATCACAGTGTTAACTATGAGTTTTTTCAAATAAATTTCCAAAATGTTATGGCTGATGTTTTAAAGTACAATTTGTAGAAATTAACTCTTTTTAACTACTTCAAGTCAGGTCAGGTTCAGTATCATCGCGATCATCTTGCTACTGCTATCATAAACCCAGTACTACCTGCCTGATGCCCTGTAGGGTGTGCTTTTTATATAATAATTACATTAAAAAAAAATTCAAAAATAATAAAACCTTATAAAAAACTTACCAAAACAGCTAGCATTATTGTAATCCAAAACAAATCCATTAGTGCATGAGCAAAGGAAGCTGCCTTTTGTGTTCACACATACTCCATTGCTCCAAGAACAATTTGGATTTAAGGTAGTGCACTTGTTAATAT